ACCAATAACTCTGGGCAAAGGTATACTGAAAAGGTTTATTCATCCTTGATACATCTCTGTAACTGGATATGTGTAGAAAAGCTTTTAAGACAGTTGGTGGCTTTTAGTTTTATTTACTTATTTATTTTATGTGTATGACTGTTTTGCCTGCATGTATTTAAGGGCACCTGTGTCACACAATACCCACAGAGACCAGAAGAGGGCAAGAGGGCATCGGATTCCCCTGGACCTGGAATTAAGGATGGCTGTTAGGTGCCATGTGGGCCACATCAGGGTGCTGGGAACCAAACCCTAGTCCCCTGCAGGACCAACCAGTGCTCTTAACCACTGGTATTTTCAAAATAAGCTGCCTGAAGAACATACAAATTAGAAATGTACTTAGAGGAAAGGCTTGTTTTTCACTTGATTCTGACCCTTGCGTGTGTTTTCCAAGGGGCTTCTGGAGATACAGACAAGTGATACCCAAGACTTTCTTCTGGCTGGTAACTTAGTCCAGTGGTAAGAGTGGTAGACACTAGCATGTGCAAGGCTGTAAGCTAAATCACTAACACCATATATACATAAAAAGTTGAACTTTCTAAATGTTTCTGTGAAAGTGAATTATAGTTTAACTGGATAATTCAGCAATGAGAGACAGATTTTTTTTTCCAAGATAATGAATTTTGACCTCTCTTTGTAATGGTCACATTGCTTTGAACACAAAGGGAAAAGCCCAAGCTTAGTAAATCTAATCTTTCATTAATCACTAATTGTAGAACATTCTCATTAATCCCACTAATGCTCTTAGGAACAAGTGAAAGTTTTATTCTGAAAGTAGAGTGGATAATACACTCCGTGTTTTAATGATTATGTTTTGAGGAAACTTCAACACACATGGTAACTTGACTCCTGTCAGTAGGTAGAGAAGAGTAGCACTCAACTGAGTTTAATGTTCAGAGAGGAAAGTCCACACTCAAATCCTAATCTAAAGTAACCTGGGCCAACGAGGAGGGGGAAAAACAAGAGATTTTTCTAACAGCCTGGCTTGAGGGGGAATCTGATGCCATCACAGACAAGCCACTTCACCCCTCTAAATTTCCCAGGGCTTTCATTTCAACTAGGAAAGGAGAACAGCGGGTTTGGTTGTTTAATCTCTGCCCCAGGGCTGACGAATGAAATACTGAATCTGAAGTGCTCTGCAAATTTCAAAATCGTGTGCGTGCAGTAACACGTGTCCGCAACTCCCAGGAGAAAAGCACTCCAGAGCAGATGCTGGGCAAGACTTACTGAAAAATGCATTGACTCCACCCCGCCCACTCTACCCCCTCGGCCCCGCCCACCCCGCGCAGGCGCAGTGCCGGGAGCGCCACGGCTCCAGAGGGCGGCCGTTCTCGAACTTCTCTACTCCACTCACTCCCAGACGCCTGGGACAGGGCTACGCCGAGAGCAGCGTGCTTTCCGGAGAGAGCGACACGGGCGGGTACCTGAGCAGAAATGAATCCCTCATAGACAGTTTTCGCCCTGTTCTGAGGAAGCAGCAGCGGGAAGTGGCGCAACAGGCTGGACTCGGTCGCCGCCATCGCGCCGGCTCAGCCTCCGCACATGCGCAGTCAGCGGGGACGCGCGCACTGGGGCCGGCCTTGGCGGGAAGTAGCGGGGTTCCAAACGGAAGTGGGCTAGTGCTGTGTAGGCCACTGCGGTCCTGATGGGTGCACCTGGTCCCCAAAGGAAGAGAGGCGGGATGATCGCTCTCAGGACCACAGGCCTGACTGATGAGGCTTTTTCTTGCCTGGTCCTTGCTCCCTACCCCCAAATCCCCTTGTTGATTTTAATGAAAGACTACAACTCTGGGGCAGCCTTATCTCCCACATAAGATAGATTTTGCAATGTACGTGTTGCGGGCCGCTTGTACACCTATTTTGTTCTAGCACTTACTCGACTTAAGGTCTCCTAAACACCCAACATGCCCAACAACGTATTCTGTATGTGAAAATACAATTAATACATTCAGTATATCATGTATGTTGCATGCAGGTTCAATGGCTTGCCTTTTTAATCAGATACTCTGAGAGGCCAGCATATAAATTGAGGGAGATCCAAGTTCACCCTGAATCAGTTCTGATGAACCACACTCACAAATACATCAGGAACACATAAAGGAGTTTGATGATGGATTTGGCAGATTCTTTCCATGACGACTTTCCTATACGTTCTGCCAGCTTGGGAGTAACTATTCATTCTCTTTTACTAAGGATTGAATGAGAAACTTAATAGCTCCCATATGATAATTTGAGATTCTAATCTGTCATTTTTGATCCCTATATGCCAGATATCAGTGCCATATACCAAAGATTGTGCAAGGATGAATTAAGATATACCTCCTATGTTTATTGCCCTCAAACTTGAATTGGATTTTGGAAAAGTCTTACTTTAACAGGATTTGTCACAATATTCTGAATGCTTAGAAAAAGAAATAATGCTACATCCATAGCTAAGCTGTTACTCAAAGTGTGACCCTGAAGCCAGGAGTTTAGCATTACCTAGAAATCTTGGAGAAATGGAAAGCTGGGACCCTGACCATTGATGGGGTTCAGAACATACCACAAGAATGAGACACCTTGGCACTTGAATAAACTACAAAACCTAGGTCAATATAACCTTCTCTGACCTCCACAGTGGCTCATAAGATGTTCATTCCAGAGGTGGCTCCCCTGAAACATCATTGTGAAGATGCAGGGACACAGAGAAGCAGCTAAACAAAAGTTGCTAAATTTGTCCCAATTCATAACCATTAGATCATATGCCTTTGTCCAGTCATACTTTTTCATAAAAATTCAGAGTTTTACATTCTGATTTGGTCTCAATTTGTTATATTCCTATGTCATGCAAAATGCATTGAATGAATATGTTTTTCTCTTCTTGTCTTCAGTTATTTGAACCTCAACTATGAAGATAGACAAGAAAGATACTTGTTTTCCTCATATGTCCCTGGTTCAAAGAATCCCAGTTTCTGGGAATAGGACCCAGCAGAGTGCTTTAACAAACCGTACAAATAATTCTAATGCATACTACAGTAGCAGCAACATCTGCTCAGCTATGCAACTTGGTTATTAAGGATGATTATAGTGGGGCTGGAGAGATGACTCTGGTTAAGAGCACTGGCTGCTCTTGCAGAGGACCCAGGTTCAGTTCCCAGTACCCACATGACAGCTAAGAACTGTCCATAACTGCAGTTCCAGGAGATCCCATGCACTTTCTGGCCTCCATGGACACTGCATACACAGGTACACTGATGTACATGCAGGTAAAACACTCATAAAATATAATATTATGTTATTAATAATATATATGAACTATGACCATACAGAGCATTATATGTAACTGATACAAGATGAAGAGTATGCATAAGACATTTGCCATTTTCAGTACTTGAGCCCCTCCTACTTTTCCTATGGAACATTCAACCTTCAAATGCTATTTCTTTATGGAAGCTTTCCCCATCATCTGAAAATTATTGCTATACTCAATAACTTAGTATATTTCCCAGTGCATTGTAAACTGTTCGCTAAATGTTTTATTCTACTCAGGCTGCTATAACAAAAAAAAAAACATAATTGGGGTGCCTTATAAACAACAGAAATTCGTTTCTCATTGTTATGAAGATAGGAAGCCTTGGATCAAGGCTTCAGTTCCACATCTGATGTCTAGCACTCAAATACCAATTACCCTGTTATATCACTCACAGCTGTCATTGATACAGTGTTCCATGTAACTAATAGCCAATGGTAATGTGGTCATCCACCACCCCTGGATCTTAGAATCTTTCCACCCCCTCTTCCGCAGTGATCCTTGAGCCTTGGGAGGCAATGGTTTCATATTAGCGGCCCATTCTGGGACAAGCCAGTTCCTCCCTCTCTCTTTCCTCTTTTCTCTTCTCTTCTCTTCTCATCTCTTCTCTTCTCTTCTCTTCTCTCTCTCTATCTCTCTCTCTCATCTCTATCTCATTAATCTATCTCTCAATTTTTTAGACAGGGTCTCCCTGTAGCCTCAGCTAGCCTTGAACTCCCTATGTAGACCATGTTGGCCTAGGTCTCACAGACATCCAATCCATCCACTTGCCTCTGCTCGGATTAAAGCCTTGGACCACCAACATGGTTTGTGCCACAGTCTCTTAACCTCTACATATTGATCTGTAAATCTCTGTGTTAAACACTGCACCAGGAAAAAAAAAAAAAAAAAAAACCTTCTCTTGTAAAAATTGAGAGATGCATTAATGTATGGGTATAAAAATTAAGACATTAGAATTCTATTTAATACTATGCCCATTTAACCCTTCTTACTCCATGATTCCCCTTTCTGCCTCTATACCACTGCATTCTAAGTCTCCTCCCATGGCCCCTTACTAGTTTCCTGACCTCTATAGGTTCTCCAACTAAAACATGCATATCTAAAGATTCAAAGAAAACATCCACTTATGAAAAGAACATGAAACATGTCTTTCTGGGTCTGGGTTGCCTCACTCAGGGTGATTTGTTACAGCTCCCTCCATGTATCTAAAATTTTACAATTTCATTTTTCTCGAGAGCTGTATAATTTTCCATTATGTACTATTCTTTCATTATCCATTCATTAGTTGATGGACATCTAAGTCATTTCCATTTCCTGGCTATTGTGACTAGGGTAGCAATGGACATGAATGAATAGGTAACTCTATAGTGAGATATAGAGTAAGGTATGGCTGGATCATGTGGTAGATCTATTTTTTGCTTTTTGAAGAACTGTCACACTGAGTTCCATAATGGCTACACAAACTCACACTCTCACCAGCAGTAAATTAGTGTTCACCCTTCCCCACATTCTCACCAGCTTTTTTCCTTGTTTGTGTTGTGGGGGTCTTAGCCCTTCTGACTGTGGGAAGATGAAATCTCAAAGTAGTTTTAGTTTTTACTTCCATGTTAAGCATCTCACTAAATATTTCTCAGCCATTTGTATTTCATTTTTTAAGAACTGTTTACTTTCTTGCCCCAATTTTTATTTGCTTTGTTTGGTTTTATGATGTTTAGCGTTTTTAGTTATTTGTATATTCTAGATATTAACTCTGTCAGAAGTATAGCAGGTAAAGATTTATTTTCCATTCTGTAGACTGGCTCATCACTTGAATGATGGCATCCTTTGCTATTCAGAAACTTTTAGTTTCATGGGGTTCCATTTGTCA